AGCATATACCTTAAATAGTATTTCAATGCAAATGGACCTGGTTCATCTGACAAAACTTGCCATATTTAGAAGATACTAGCTCTAAAGTTCATATGTGGGGTAGGATTTCTTCATTTAGATTGTCTGTATTTTCTGCCAAACGTGCATTTTTTTCTGTTTTTTTTTTTTTTTTTTTTTTTAAAACCTGAAGCAGATGCATTTTTTTCTATGTTTTTTTTTTTTTTTTCCAAACGTCCGTTTTTTAAAAACACCTTTTATTTTGAAAAGTTGCTGTAGGGGTCAAGGGAAAACTTCCCCTTCATCCTCTGAAAGTCCACTGAAAAATCAAATGCCAAAAGGCAGATTAATTGGAGAAAAGGCATACAAATTAATTTAACGCGTATACATGGAAAGAACCACAGAGTGATTACCCACCCTGCAATGTGGTTCAGAAGCTTGTGTACTGTCTTGGTCAACCAGATTCTGGGAGAGTGGAGAATTCTGTTGAGTGGATTACTGGGACAAATGAGTGGATAAGGAAACAGAGATTAATTTTACATTATCTTGTGAAAGGGTCTGTTCAGGTGTGGTTATATTCTTGTTCCTACAGGGAAAGGAAGAATAGACAATTATTCTTTTTGGTGGGTCTGAATCTTAGCTAGATAAAGGTTTGGGTGAGACAGTGACAAGTGGAAAAGGTCAGAGACATCTCGAGGCCTCTTCAGTTCAGCATGTCAAAGTGCTGTATTTTGGGGTATCAGCTTCTGAGCCCCAACATTGCACAAGTGGAACAGAGAATCCCTGTATGTCCTTCATCTTGTAGAGGAGGGAAAACGTTTCCTTTACCCTCTGAGGTTTCAGTAATTGAGTCTATGAAATAAACTGACAGTAGACAGATTAACAGGAGAAAAGGTATAACAATTCATTACATGCATGGAGGTATGTCATGAAAGAAAAGTGAATACCCCCAAATCCAGTGAGAGTTAGAAGCTTATATACTCTTTTCATGGAGGTGAGAGGAGGGAGGATATAGGGAACTTAGGATAGAATGAATGATTTTGGGGAAAGATGAATGGGCCCTCAGAAGAATAGGTGAAAGACTGTGACAAAGTCTGTCTGAGCATGGCATGGACTTCCAGTCTCCTCTCCTGTTTAATTTTCTCTGGTTGATGAGATTCCTGGGGAGGAGATTCATGATAACTGAGTTAGTTTTGGAGGCTCTTTCTTAGGCAGATACAGGAAGTTCAGAGAAAGCCTCTACCTGCATTTGCTCTTCCCCAAGAGTCCTAAGTTTAAAGTAATCAGAATACTAAAACAGCATATTTTGGGGTGGTATTATACAACTCCTTCAATCCAGATTCCTGAAGTTAATAGTTTACATTTGCTTAATCATCCTATTACTTTTCTCTTTTCTTTTTTTTTTTTTTTTTTTTTTTGAGATGGAGGCTCACTCTCTTGCCCAGGCTAGAGTGCAGTGGTGCAATCGTGGCTCACTGCAACCTCTGCCACCCGGGTTCAAGTGATTCTCCTGCCTAAGCCTCCCGAGTAGCTGGGATTACAGGCAACTGCCACTGTGCTTGGCTAATTTTTGTATTTTTAGTAGAGATGGGGTTTCACCATCTTGGCCAGGCTGGTCTTGAACGTCCTGACCTCGTGATCCACCCGCCTTGACCTCCCAAAGTGCTGGGATTACAGGCATGAGCCACTGCCCTCGGCCTACTTTTTTCCTTTTTTTTTTTTTTGAGATAGAGTCTTGCTCTGTCGCCCAGGCTGGAGTGCAGTAGCATGATCTCAGCTCATTGCAGCCTCCGCCACTGGAGTTCAAGCAATTCTCGTACCTCAGCCTTCCAAGTAGCTAGGATTACAGGCATGCATCACCACACCCGGCTAATTTTTGTATTTTTAGTAGAGTCGGCGTTTCACCATGTAAGCCAGGCTGCCTTGAACTCCTGACCTCAGGTGATCTGCCTGTCTCGGCCTCCCAAAGTGCTAGGATTACAAGTGTGAGCCACTGTGCTCGACCCTATTACTTTTTTTCTAAAATATTTTAGAGTAAGTTGTGAAATAATGCCCCATTAACTCTAAATACTTCTGTGGTTGTTCTTTATTTTAAAAATTTTAAATTTTTAATTAACTTTTTAAAGAGACGGGGTCTTGCTCAGTTGCACAGCCTGGAGTGCAGTGGCCAGATCATGGCTCACTGCAGCCTCTAACTCCTGGGCTCATGGGATCCTGCCACCTCAGCTTCCTGCATAGCTGGGACCACAAGTGTGCACCACCACTTACGGCTAATTTTAAATTTTTTTTGTAGAGACAGGGTCTGGTGATGTTGCTTAGGCTGGTCTTGAACTCTGGCCTCAAGAGATTCTCTTGCCTCAGGGTCCCAAAGTGCTGGGATTACAGGCATTAGCTATCATGCCCAGAAGTATTTTCTTTTTTTTTTTTTTTGAGACTGAGCCTCTCTCTGTCACCCAGGCTGGAGTGCAGTGGTGCGATCTCGGCTGACCACAACCTCTGCCTCCCAGGTTCAGGCCATTCTCCTGCCTCACCCTCCTGAGAAGTTGGTATTACAGGCACGCGCTAACATGCCTGGCTAATTTTTGTATTTTTAGTAGAGACAGGGGTTTCACCATGTTGGCCAGGCTGGTCTCGAACTCTTGACCTCGTGATCCACCTGCCTTGGCCTTCCACAATGCTGGGATTACAGGTGTGGGACACTGTGCCCAGCACTTTTTTCTTTTTTGAGACAGGGTCTTGCTCTGTTGCCCAGGTGGGAGTGCAGTGGCACGCTCACAGCTCACTGCAGCCTCGACCTCCCCAGCTCAAGCAATACTTTTACCTCATCCTCCTCAATAGTTGGGACTACAGACTCAGTAGTTGGGATTTACCTCAGTAGTTGGTGGAATAATTTTTTTATTTTTTGTAGAGATGGGGTCCCACTCGGTTGCCCAGACTGGTCTCTAACTCTTGAGCTCAAGCAACTCTTGAGCCTCAGCCTGCCAAAGTGGTAGGATTATAGGGGTTAACCACCACACCCCGCTCCAGAGGGGTTAACTCCAAGTACTTCAGTGGCTGTTTTCCCATCACCATGGCACACGTTTACCTATGTAACAAACCTGCACATCCTGCACATGTAGCATATGTATCCCAGAACTTTAAATGAAATGAAAAAAAAAAAAATAAAAAAGAAATTGCCACAGCCACGCCAACCTTCAGCAGCCATCCACATTGAGACAAGACCCTTCAGCAAAAAAGTAGTAACTCTGAGGTCTAAGATGACTGTTAGCATTTATTAACAATAAAGTATTTTAAAATTACAAAAAAAAGAAAAACATGGTTTGTAGTATGCCAAAAATTTGCATAATCTTAATTTAATTATGAATAAACATCAGACAAACCCATATTGAGGTACAAGCTACAAAATTACTGGCTTGTACTCTTCAAAAATGTCAAGGTAATGGAAGCCAGACTGAGGAATCCTTTCAGATTAATCGAGACGTGGTAACTGATCCCCAGTCAGAAAAAAATATTATTTTGTTGCTATAACAAGCATTATGGGGGTGGGGTGGGAGCGCATGTCCTCAGGACCTCCTCAGACTGACTTGAAAAAAAAAAAAAAAAGCATTATTGTGTGGCTCGTGCCTGTAATCCTAGCACTTTGGGAGGCTGAGGTGGATGGATAGCTTGAAGCCAGGAGTTTCAGACCAGCCTGGGCAATGTGGTGAAAACGTTTTTAGAAAAATACAAAAAAATTTAGCAGAGCATGGAGATGCGCATCTGTAGTCCCAGCAACTCAAGAGGCTAAGGTGGGAGGGTAGCTTGACCCCGGGGAAGCTGAGGCTGCAATGAGCCATGATCGTACCACTGCACTCCAGCCTGGGCGACAGAGCAAGACCTTGTCTCAAAAACGAAAAGAAAAGAAAAGAAAAGAAAAAAAAGACCAATTTTGAAATATCTGTAGATTAAGGAATAATACTGTATTCATCTTTTTTTTTTTTTTTTTTTGAGATGGAGTTTCACTCTGTCGCCCAGGCTAGAGTGGAGTGGCTCGATCATGGCTCACTGCAGCCTCTGCCTCCTGAATTCAAGCGATTTCCTGCCTCAGCCTGCTGAGTAACTGGCATTACAGGCGCGTGCCACCACGCCTGGCTATTTTTTTTCTTTTTTTTTTTTAAAAGATGGGGTTTCACCATATTGGTCAGGCTGGCCTGGAACTCCTGACCTCAGGTGATCCGCCCACCTCAGCCTCCCAAAGTGCTGGGATTACAGGCGTGAGCCACCGCGCCCAGCAGCCTGGCTAATTTCTGTATTTTTATTTTTAAAAAAATTTTTGTATTTTTAGTGCTGACAGGGTTTCACCGTGTTGGCCAGGCTGGTCTTGAACTCCTGATCTCAGGTGATCCGCTTGCCTCGGCCTCCCAAAGTGCTGGGATTACAGACATGAACCACCATGCCTGGCCAATTTGTTTTTCATGGTACTTGCACTCCCTAGTTTAGCCTAAGGTGGTAATCACAGCAGGACAACGCCGAGCGTGTCAAAACTTGTGGATCCTTGTTTCACAGGGTTAGGTCATATCTCTCGTATTAGTGTAATGCTTGGCACGTAGTCAATGGCTGCCCCCTTCCCAATTACTTCATCTCAGTAGTCAGCAGGGCGTAATGTAATTTATTTGCTTATATTTATGTATTTTCCAAACACTGTGATATATTATTTCTCTATCCCCAGTGTCTAGCACATATTAGGTGCTTGAAAAATGCGTGTGTGAATTAGTGTTCAGGGGTAAGTATCACGGAAGAAGATAAGGACTACTTGTTGGCCCCTGGATGGCATTTTTCTGTTCTAATGGGAAATACGGCCGAGGACTTGGGAGGGCACAGCCTGCGTTGAAACTTCGTAAAGTGTCCCACGAGTCTCCTTCACGTCGTTGATTGCTGGGCCTCGGGTTTCCGCTGGGTGGGGAGGAAAGTGGGGCGGGAAATCGAAAAACGAACTCTCAGCTCCCGGCATTCCCCGTGGGCGGCGCTCCCCTTTGACCCTTCGCTCGCGTGCTACACATCCGGGCCTCTGCTACTAGTGAGAGGAAGATGGCGGCCGCGGCTGTTGTGGTTCCCGCAGAGTGGATAAAGAACTGGGAGAAATCAGGGAGAGGCGAATTGTGAGTGTTCGGGCCGGAGGCAGGCGCACTGTCGGGCCGGGCCAGGGCGTCAGCTTCACTCTCACCTGTGGTGGGAGGTTGAGGGGGGGAAGATGTACCCCCTCCCCCACCCGGTCTTCGGGCGTGGATGGTCAGCTAGGAGTTTCGAACTCGGGGAGAGGTGCGGTTAACCGCCGCGGACCTCCTTCCTTCCCTGGCCTCCCAAAAATCGCTGCTGCCTGCGGTAGCTTGGCTTCCTTTAGCCTCTTAGTAGAACTCCTGTTCGCCCCTGCGGGTCTCCGCGCTCCCTCTTGGTCTCTTTTTGTGTTCCCCTCTTCGCTTGAGCTCACTTGGCTTCTTTATCCTTATCGGGCTGCGCCGGGGCGATTCGGACTTTCCGTTTGTCTCTGTCCCATTTCTTCACTCTGCACCCGATCGACTCTGTAGTTTAGAGCTTGGCGCCTCCTCTGCCTGAAGTCCGAGGAGGGCGAACCGTCCCGGACTCCCTTCTCTCCTCTTCGCCCGCTGCCGCGAAGCTCGTGGCGCCGCGAAGCACTCAGTTTGGCACCTCTCGTCCTCCCGGGGAGCGGTCTCCCGACTGTCCCAGCTTCGTGTGGCGCCGTGGGGAAGTGTGACAGGGATGGCCGCTTTCCCCGAAGAACTACCGGCATTTCTTTGCTCTGTCTTTTCACCTTAGAGCTATTTCGGGTTGGATTCAACTTTCGTCATTAAATGTTCCCTAAACCCCATTTTATCCTGGGACTGCAACTAATTCTGGCAACTATCCAAGCTTCTCAAGTACCTAGGATAACGCGTTTCATTTAGTCGTGAAACTTTCCCCCGGTAACACCAAAAACAGTAACTTGCCATACCCCTAGTCTTCTCGCCCACAAATTAGAGCGCTCCCTCCTTTCCTCCCCCTGGAAAAAGTCGTTTAATCAGCAAAGCAAACTACAGATTTAAGAACAGATATTAATAACAGCGTCTAATTTCCTTCTCTGGATCGTTTTTAGATGTTAAAGCTCAACCCTGGATGAAATTAACTCTTAGCCATTTTTGTCGTCCTTGCCCACCCCCCTCCATTTCTGGTAGCCAGTTTACCGTGGCTCGTGCTAAAGATTTAAATCTTTGTAACTTCATTACTTGGAACGAAACACGAGGAACGCGTTGCCGGGTCCCGCGCTTGTAATATTGCCAGTCTCTGTGGCTTCCTCCCCCGCACCCCCCGCACTGCTTTATGAAGCCTTAACAGTGTGAGCTCTAGAATTGCCTAAATAAGCGGCTGTCTTAGCCACTTAACTAGCTGAGTGACCTTGGGTAAGTTCCTTAACCACTTGGACTGTTTCCCCTTGAGTAAATTGGGAGTAATAAGTACTCTACTCAAAGGATTGTTGCGAAGACTAAATAATGCCTGTAAAGCACTTGGCTTATAGTAAGTGCTCAAGTGATAGCTATTAAAAGTAATATTATTCCAACCTTTAGATATTTAAACTTCTCAGGACAGCTCTTGCACTTAAAGTCTGTACCACTCAAGTTGGCAATTAATTCGTCTCTGACTCCTTCATATGTATTTATTCTTGCACTCTAATGAATTGAGAGGCCCTTGAAAGATAGGGACTATGTTTCATATTTCTTTTGGCTCTATACACGCCCCGCCCCCTTCAGCATATGCTTAGAATTCTTATTGGTTTATTAATTGCCAGAGAAGACTATTTTACCTTCGTTTTTAACTATAATGAACATTTTCCAAATCCTCGTACGTGCTAGTTAAATAGCTATCAAGTTTGATAACTAGTTGACAGCCATCAAGTTCTGGGAAGGCCAGATGTGAAGTTACCCAGCCAGAGTGTTAGCTTCACCCATATTAGGGTAATCCCCCCAAAACTGATAAAGCAGTTCGCTGTTTTGTTTACTTTTAAAGCCAGCTCATTTATTTAGGGGCTGTCATCTTTGTAGTTTGCTCAGCTTCCTCCTTTCAGCTACTTCTTTTTTTTTTTTTTTTTTTTGAGATGGAGTCTGGCTGTGTCGCCCCGGCTGGAGGGCAGTGGTGCGATCTTGGCCCACTACAACCTCCGCCTCCCGGGTTCAAGCAAGTCTCCTGCCTCAGCCTCCTGAGTAGCTGGAACTACAGGTGCATGCCACCACGCCTGGCTAATTTTTTTGTATTTTTAGTAAGGACAGGGTATCACTGTGTTAGCCAGGATGGTCTCCATCTCCTGACCTTGTGATCCGCCCGCCTCAGCCTCCGTTTTACTATTATTGCTCCCACCTTAGAATGAATGGTATTAGGGCTACAGGTGAAATTCTGCTTGGCTTCTGACTGTTAGCGGTTGGAGAAAAAGTTAAACAGGAGGTCGAAATACCTAGTTTAAATGGAATTTTAGGTTCACATTATGTATATTTACATAATACATGCTACCTGTCATAGTTCTCATGTTTGAAGAGCTGCTTAAAAACTTATTAGAACTTATATGTATGTAGTTATTGCATGATTTGTGGAATGTTTTGAATTATGGTAGATCCAAATCAGTATAGTCAGTTTTATGATTGCATTCTGTTATATGAAGATAAAGTTGTGTAACATGATAAGCTGTTTTAAACACGTCACCATCCAGTACTTAGTTTTTGTTTATTTGACCTGTTTTCCCTCTATGAAAACTTTGCTGCATATAGCATATCTTGGGAGTTTCTGTATCTTCCTAAAGATAGATGTTAGCATTTTCATTTTATTAGGCAGACTGCATGGTGGTGCAAACATATTACAAAAAACCTTTTTCCTTTGTCTGAAAACAGCTTCTGAAATATAAAACGGCAACTGTAAATGTTAAAAATGAAGGTAGTATGCCACCAAATTATTAGTGAATCTATTTATAGATTTGGCGTTTAGAATATGACCAACATTTAAAATTATACCTTGAGTGAATTTTTCCTTTTTAACAAGATAAATTAGCAGATAAGCTTTAACTTGACTGAAAATTACCTTTTTAAAAATAATATGATGTATTTCAGGTTGTTAATTTGTTTCTTGTCTGTCACTTGTTAGCAGCGTAAATCTTCCTGGGGGTGGTAGTCAACTAGTGTTGAAAGTAACATGTGAGTTATATGGGGCATTTTATAACTTTTAGATAGGGCAAATTCTCAATTGTACCCCATGACAAACAACTGTCTATTAAATGGAAGGCCTTGGCTTTGGAGAATGTTTTATTAGGTAATTAGGATAAAAGTAAAACTGTTTTTGCCTATCTGAATGGTCTATCCATCACATACCTGGATATCCCATTATGTTTCCAGAGATACCAATTAATGTTTTGAATGCTAAATTGTAGAACTCCTAAAGTGACCTTTTCCAAGAGGGATCAGAAGGGCGAAGGAGGACTACCAAAATGTAATTGTCATTTCCGGTAATGCTTATATCTAAATGTAAACTCTTTCAAATTGTGAAAGATACGTGTTTAAATATTTTATTTTGACTTTCTCGATTATAGTAACATAGAACTTACCATGGTGAAGCTAATAAGCTTGCATGTACTGGTAGATCCAGTGTAGAATTCTGTTTTTAGTAGAAATCATTAACACGGTAAGTTCAGCATTTCTTTGTTACAAGCAACCTAAATGGAGAATTGATCTTAATCTGAAGATGCTAGCCTCATGTTAATACTTAGTATAATTTTGAAATACTTACGTTTGTTGAGTATCATCTGTTTGAGTAGCTTATTTAGGTATTTCAGTTAGAAAGTTTGGTTAGGTTTTTATCTTCTTAATGGTAGTTATAAAATTTTAAAATTTAATTGTCAAATGTTTTGATTGCTATTTTTCTTCTACACGATTGCTACTTTTTCTGCTGCTACTACACAATTTTAGACACTCTAGAACTTAAGTACATTTGGATGTTCAAAACATGCCATCTGATCTGAATTTCTGGAGGATTCTAGGTAAAGGGATATAATCATTCTAAAAAATTTTAGTCTTGGTGGTTGAGTCTTCTTTTCCTCGCAAAGTTGCTTCAAATTCAGCCAAAGCTTTTACCTGAAACCTTTTCTTGATGTCTCAGTTTTCATTTGGTGTTTAATTTCCCATTTTGACCTGTATTCATGAGCTAAGTATAAGTCTTAGTCTGTTTTCCTGGGAAGAGAAACATTCTTCAGAAAATGTTGAAGAGGTTGTATAGGCTTTGTTTGTCAAAAAAAAAAAATTATTCTAGAATGCTTTAATGTTAAGGTAGGGTGAGCGCTGTTAATATACTTGTGCTTTTTTCCTACTGTAAGCGCAGCAACTCCTGTTGTCTTTTTTTTTTTTTTTTTTTAACATTTCCTCTTTCCTTTTCTTTTAAATGCATGTTTCCACAAGATAAAACTATATTGTCCCAATATTCATTTTTGTGGGTTGTGTCTCTGTTCTACAAATGATAATGGAGGTAGCACTTTGCTTAACCTCATTTAACCTTTTCATTGTCTTGTTTTAAAGAATTAAGTGAAGTGTAAATGAACATCAGCCTTTTATATATGAAAGCCAGATTTGAGATGTGAACATAATCAAGTAGTTTAAGTTTGTGTCTGTTTCCTTTTTAATGGAAAAGGGAACAAGTTACACGAAAAGCTGTATATTCATGTTAAGAAGTATTCACAAAATATATTTTAAGTCCTTGAAGGAACTTCAGACATTTTATTCAGTTTTTTATACATCTTTTGACAGAAAATAGAGTCTGTCCTTGTTCTCAGGGACCTGAGACAGCATCTCCATAATAGCACTAAACTGTTTTAAAAGTAGAAAAAATGAAAGCCTAAGGTGGTGGCATGTGAGGTGGTGTGCACTGTGGCACACACCTGTAATCCCAGCTACTTGGGCAGCTGAGTCAGGAGGAAGGATCGCCTGAGCCCAGGAGAGTTCTGGGCAATATAGCAAGAACCTGTCTCTATTTTTATTTTTTAAAAAATTAAAAAAAGTGGAAAAATGGTAAAAAGTATCTGAAAGCTATTAAAGGATTAAAATAACTTGAATTTGGACTGAGACAGAAAATTTGA